CCGATGCTGCTGGCGGCGTACGTGGGCTGTGTGGGGCTGGGCGCCGGCGTGCTGCAGGCGCTGGAGCGGCCGGCCGAGGCGCAGGCAGCGCGACACCTCCTCCAGCAGCACTGGGAGCTGCTCGCCAACCACACCTGCCTGCAGGGGCCCGGCCTCCAGCGGCTCATCGAGGTGAGCCCGTCGGCCCCTCCGCCGGCGCGGCAGCGGCGGAGCAAAGCGCCCGCCCAGCTGGGAGCTGCCGCGGTAGGCGCTGCCTTCGTCCTGGGGCCGGGGGGGCGGTTGTTAATGGCAGGAACCTTGCCTCCTGCCTGCGAGAAACTTAAAACTTTCTTCCTATCTGTATCTATGCGCACACATAATCCTGCCCCGCAGAAGCTGCCCGCGGCGTGGGAAAAGCTTTCCGCTCCGGGGCAGCTCCGTGGGCGCAGGAGCGCGGAGCACCGCGTTGCTCTGGGCCGGCCGGCACGTCGGGCTTTCCCGGCTTGTCACCGAGTATTTCGGCCCTGTTTTCTGTCTGCTGGTAAAGAGTTTCTCTTGTTCTCCGCTGTCCTCCCACACGTTGTGGGGTTCTCGAGTTTTTAAGGGATGTGTCCTGACGGAAGGACGGTGGCAGAGTTTTCCCATTATATGGTAATTACCTGGTGTTAACTGCAGGTAGGCTTGTTTTGCTGTTGAACTTATTAAGAATGAGTTATAGTCTGTGACATCTTACAAGTGGTAAATTCTGATGGAGAGTCTTTGTCGTGGCAAGTTTAATTGGTGTTTATACTAGTGTCAAACTCTTTCAGTTTTTGTTACTTAAAGGGGAATAGAAAATCCTGGTAACACAACTTAAGGTATCCTTACAAATGTTTCCGAGGATATTTGTGGGATGGTTGCAAAATGTAAAGCAGGACCAAATGCAGTCTTATTAAAGTATAAATGGATGCATTTTATGATGCAGATATGAGCAAAGTGGGATAAATGGCTTTTCTCCTTGCTCAATTTTTTTCTGAAAAAGAAAAACCTGCAATATTAAAGCAACTTGAATATTTACCCGAACCATTCTAGTTCAGTAGGTGCTGGTGATTGAATATGTACTGCTTGCTTTGGTCTATGTGCCTCAAACAGATGTTGCCAAACAAATGAAGAAAACTTGGTGGTTTTGTAAAAGCAGTGTTCAGTGGTGGCTGAAACCATAGTAGCTGGCCACCAGAGTTCAAAGGACCTGAAAGGGACTTGGATAAGTGTTTCCAGGGTTTTTTTCCAGGAGAGAGAAAAACACAGAAACCATCAAACAGATAATCTTGTCAGGAGTTTCAGCAAGGCCCTGGCAGACAAAATTATGCTGATAACCTATGTCAGGCTCTCATCTCTTGACTATCTAGATGGTAAATTCTCTGTGGCAGTCAGTAGTACATTGAAGATAGGATACGAATTTGGACCCTTGTAAGCTACTATGGTATCTACTCAGATATTTTATAGTGTGTCCTGTGCTAGCTGTGGAATATAAATAGTTAGAGAGAAGTGAGAAATATGTCAGAGACCAGTCTGGCACTTCCTAAAGGCAGGTCTGAGCTGAGCTTTAGTCAGCACTGGTCCATTGAACAGTGAGTGCTAGGCATGGCTGTTGCCCTGGGGCTGGAAGGGTTTCACTTGATGAATGACAGTAACAGGGTGATGGTGGAGAGAAGATGATGATCACAACTGAGTAGGTAGAAAGGTGTTTCTAATGTCATTTGATGGTTTGTTTTACTGTAGGGTGACCTCTACTAATTCTTGATACTGTCTGGTAGTCGACGGAAGAGGACGTCTGCCCAAATCCCTTTAGACCAGACACTGCTACAAGATACTGTGCGAGTACTTAATTGTGACCTGAGCAAGCCCAAGATGAGTAAATGAAAGAAGTTTTGTTTCATTGAATGGAGTGTCTGTGTATGCCTTCGTGCTTTGAGAAACCATAGTCTGAGTTTGAATGGCTTTGTGTGTTGTTTTTAATAACTTTCACAGTGAGAAATTAATCTTAAACACATAATCCGCAGGACTTCTTCTTTCCTACGCTCTTTTCTAATTTCCTGTGTAGCAATTGCTTGGATACTGTAAGTGTGCTCAGAAAAATGAGATGTTTTTCTGTGCAGTAAATTGCACATAGTTTATCAGGCAGTGTCATCACTGGCCCCCTTCAAATAGACAGCTGATTATTTGCTGATTAAGACAGACATATAAAGAGTATTTGTGAAAACATAAAACAGTGTGTGAATTTTAATTGCTTTGACATTACTGGCAATTCCTCATTGTTTTCTTACAGCTCTTTAATCCTAGATAATTCTAAACTCCATTTTATGTATATAGAGGCCAGTAAGGAATAAAATCCCAGTTTGCTAAGCAATGAATAAACATAATTTTACAACCTGTTTATTGCTTAGTTCCTGGTTACCAACTGGGAGTGGAAATTCACTGTTCCAGCCCTTGCACAGATGGAGAGCAAGAGAGCTCCTGCTTTAAGGAGTTAGCAGGAGAGCACGGTGTGAGGATGAGCAGAAGGAAAGGCAAAGGCAAACAGACCATGCTGCCATAGCTAGACCAGTGAATTCTCATTCAGTAATTTCTATGGCTCCAATCCTTTCCAGGGAAGAAGTAATTTTCTAGTTAACAAAATAAGACAGAGATGGAAATAGCAGACCAACAACAAAAACTGAATGGCAGAGGAGAAAATGTTAGAAAGTGTGTGACATCTGTAGTGGTGGGTTCCTGCTTCCCACAGCTGTGTCTTTTTTTTTTTTTGCCTGGAGGGACTGACTGGCTCTTCCCCTGCGGGATGCTGAACAGTCCCACATTTCCTAAATAGCTGAGGGTAGCATGTGTGAGTGCTTTATGTGTAAGCAAACAAAATGCATGCTCATGTGTTTATACACACATATATGTATATGGGAAAGACTGATTTGCATTTTTCTTGGCTTTCATTACTTATGCTTAGAACAAAGACAGCTTAGGGGACAACAGAAGGACTCTGGCCATGTGTCCCTCTACTGTGCATCCAGTAACATCTACTCAAGGAAGACATAAGTTTGGTTTTGTTGACCCATCTAACCCTAGGCTATTTTCCTGACACTGTATACAGTTTGTGACATGAACACGTGTTCACCAGGACCAAGATGGAAAGTGAACACTTCCTCATGAGCCATTAGGGAACATACAAAGATGGCCATATCTGGCTTTTTATTATAAATATGTGGTGGTCTTCAGCTGGAATTACTGGCTGTGAAGTCACATCAAAGGAAGTTCTCAATGATAAGATTTCCAGAAGATGGAAACAGATGCAATAAGACAGGTTTCAGGCAATACACCCTCAGTACAGTGAAGAACAGTAACTGGACTCAGCTGGGGAAAAAAGTTCATAATAGTCTCCGTCCAGGCAAAAATTATGTTGGTTCCAGACTTGAGAAGTGTCTAGAGAGTGAGGCTGCCCATAAAAAGGGTGCTTTCTGTACTAGTGTATCTCTTGGAGCTGATACCCTCTCTGACCTTTTCGGGGTGGGGGGCACCTGGTCACACTACCCAGTGAGATGCACTTCTAGTGCACAAGTCTCTCAGTTTTACTGCCTAGGGTGAGTATGTATAGCTCTGCTTCAGCTGAGCTGTCCTCCAAACTACCTCCTTTTCCTGCATCATTTTCAGTGGTTACAGGCACCAGTGTAGCCATAGCTACTGTACATCTCAGTGTCTCTTTAGTCACATGATTGGCTTTGTGGCCAGACTTGGAACAGTGTGTTTTCTGGGTTAGGCTGTTACCATGTCATCCTTTTCATGCTACCCTTTCTTTTTTGATGTAACCTTTTTTGTTGTTGTATATATATTTCCCTAATATGGCTGTTTCCTGTATTTATTATATTGTTGTATCCACTTTCTATTACTGTAGATGCATAATGCTATTTAAACCCAATTACTGAGTTAATTTTCTTCTTAGTAGCTGGTACAGTGTGTTTTGGATTTAGCATGAGAATAATGTTGATAACACATTGACGTTTTAGGTGTTGCTAAATAGTGCTTATGCTAAGTTAAGGATTTTCCAGTTTCCCCATGCTCTGCCAACAAGCAGGTGTACAAGAAGCTGGGAGGGATCATAGCCAGGACAGCTGACCCAAACTAGCCAAAGGGATACTCCATAGCATAGAACGTCATGCTCAGTATATAAACTGGGGGGAGTTGGCCAGGAGGGGTGGACTGCTGCTTGGGCATTGGTCAGCAGGTGGTGAGCAATTGCATTGTGCATAACTTATCTTTTGGTTTTTTATTTCTAATTATATTCCTTTTAATTACAATTATATTTTACTATTATATTTTATTTTATTGTACTTTAGTTAATAAACCATTCTTAAAAAAAACCAAGAAAAGACAAGTGATCGGAAACTGGGAAATACTTAACTTGGGGTAAGTGCTACCTAGCAGCACCTAAAACATCAGTCTGTTAGCATTATTCTCATGCTAAATCCAAACCACACTGTACTAGCTACTAAGAAGAAAATTAACTCTATCCCAGCTGAAACCAGGACACAAGATTTAATGTGTAGTGGTAAGGACCTAATTCTAAAGGGCAGGTCATAAACTAAAAGCAAAGCCTGCAGGTGGATCTAGATACTGTTATCTCCAGAGTCAACAGCTAGAGCTACAGAGTTTTAGTTCATGTTCACAAGAGCAATGAGATCCTGTGTGACTGAAAGATCCTCATCAATACTTTGGCTTGCATTAACATTGAACCAGCAGAGATTTGTGCCAGCTGTCAGGAAATACAACCCTGCAAATACAGTTTACTAAAATCATCTTGCCCACAGGTGATGCAGCAGTGAGTGACTGTTAAGGAGTAAGCATCAGAGATCACCTGTTGGTGATAAGGGACTTTAAGGAACAGCATTGGCTCTTAGTATTGTGGAGCAGTGATATCTGTATAGAACCCACTCTAGTCAAATATCCATTGGCTTGTCACAGGTGAAATAGTGTTGATCCCCTGTAATTGTTCTTTCCAAGTTCCTTCTTATCAAAATGTACTACTGCTTTGGTTAAGTTATAGCCAGTTTGTTCTCCTCCAGACCTATTAATTACAAACAACTATGGGTACCTTACCAAGAGTGTGCATCTGTGCTTATAATATTGTATAATAGTGTACCTTTGACAGAAGTTGTTAGAGAGAAAAT